AAAATCAACGTATGAAACTCTCAAATTGAGACTTGCGCTATCACGCTACGTAACTGCGTACTTCAGGCAGCTTTGCCTCATAAACATAAAATGCGGTATACGCCGTGCTATTTGAGTTGTATGGTTGAATTAAATATGATTAGTGCTAATGCAGCAGGTGGTTACTCCCATAGCGACATGAAAAGCGTGCCGTAACTTTATACTGAGGGCGAGTATTTGTGTAAACACTACAGGCCCGCATTGAAAGAATCCTAGCGAAGTGAGACGCAGGTGCAGCTACACTTCGGAAGGCGGATGTCGACTGTTGCACTCACAGTCTTAGCCATTCAACCCTTATGACGCGCCTATTTTGCTTGGCACGTTCGGCCACTTGGATTCTGGTTGTTATTGCCATAGAGCGTAATTTCTAGAGCTGTGCAAATAGCAAAATTCTGGGCGCGAAGAGAATCAAAATATATTTCTTCAATGTTTCTGTAGTATTTTTGTAAAATCTTTAGAAACTGAAATTTTAAATCTTTAGAAAAGGAGATTAGTTAGACGGTTCGTGAACATACTTTTTAGAGGTTGCAACGTGAAAGTGTTTTCTTTGCCTAGGTAATGAAGTGCTGGCGATGCGGTGTTTTATAGTTGTCTATGAAGAAGGTGACAACGAAAGTGCGAACTTTATATTTATGTACTATCGTGAGCTATATGAGCTCGAACACGTGAGCGCGTGGCAAATGGCCTCAAAACCGAATAACGCGACGCGAGAATGGCGCTGCCGAAACAGTGGGGGGAGAAGAGGGACTCTTGCAGTGACTATTCCCACTCCCGCGTGATTGTTGCTGTGAAAGGGCAGCTAATCGCGTGCCACTAAAAGAAAATGCACTAAAACAAACAGTGAAAGAAGCGCATGAATGCACATGAATGTATATATATATATATATATATATATATATATATATATATATATATATATATATATATATATATATATATATATATATATATATATATATATATATATATATATATATATGCTTGTATATAGTCCAGTAGATCCTCCGTGAGCGGGCCAACGTGTCTATTTCGACGTTTCGGCCTAGAAGTCTGGCCTTTTCAATCTAGATATATATATATATATATATATATATATATATATATAGTGTGTGTGGTGTGTGTGTGTGTGTGTGTGTGTGTGTGTGTGTGTGTGTGTGTGTAGCAGCTGTCAGCGGAGGGGGCACCTCTTTCCCCCACCCCAGTTCCGGAGCCCCTGACGGCAGGCTACGTCACAGCCGATATGTTTGTAGCCACACAGCCTGATTGGTTGTGGCTGTGCGCGTTGATGTGAGGTCATTTCACTGCTAGCAGCCACAGACATACCATAGGCTGCATTTTGCAGCACAAATACCTGAAGCGAGAGGGTCAACAGCAAGGGGAAGTGCGCCACCCTTTCCACTTAGATTCTTAGAGCGGCCGCTGCGAATCAGCAAATGTAGGGTTCGAGGCTGGCTTCGTATCCCGGCTGCAGCGGCTGCATTTCCAATGGAGGCGGAATTGTTGTAGGCCCGTGTGCTCAGATTTGGGTCCACGTTAAAGAACCCCAGGTGGTCAATATTTCCGGAGCCCTCCACTACGGCGTCTCTCATAATCATATGGTGGGTTTGGGACGTTAAACCCCACATATTAATCAGGGTTCGAGGCTATTCGTCACGCACTCGTGTGTTCAGGCTCATATTACTGCCGATAGTACATACATGAATTGGTGCAACCGAAGTGTTTCTACCACACTTTAGAGGTGCAAAGAGAAGATGCTATTTTCCAAGCTTTTCCTCCTCTTCAAATTTTGTGGAAGCCGAGATGATGTGATAAAGGGTGTGGCCTCAGCGATTCCAAAGTTCCAAATCTTTCTCGTTGACTTTTGTGTAGAGGAACATCTGAAATGTTTGATGCTAAGGTCATCGGTGCTTAAATTTCCGTACTTCATGCGCAAAATAAAGCTTAAAACAGCATAAATTAGGCACCAACATTTGCCATATCTATTCTCTTCAATTAAGAACGAGCGTTTTCTTTAGTCAGTACATTCACAACCGTAGGAGAACACGAAAGGCTTCTTGGCCTCTGTATAACTATGTGATGCGGTGAAGCATAAAAAATAAATACGTAGGAGCAGCTGTTGTTGAGACACTCACTGTTTTGTCGTCAAAAAGCCTGAATAGTCAGTAGTAATATTCCGGTCTTAGTCGAATACAAAAAATATTCAAAATTTTGAATAGTCGCACACCTCTGTTAATTTTTTATTGCTTCTCATACGCAAGATGAAACGTTTTACATTCTCATATTATTTTCCTAATGTAAGTATATTGCCTGTTAATATTGGCCGTTCCGTTGGGGCGTTTCAATAGCAATCTGAGCAGGTACTGTGAGTAATGCCGTTTGTGGTTCGCATCTGCTTGACTTCGTCGTATTCAGCATGTCAATCTTCAACATTCACTCACACTGGTCTTTTCCCATACATCACTATTTCTCAGGGCCGTAGCGCATCAGGGCCTGGGCTTGTCAGCGGGTCATGACGTGGTTACGGTCTGTCATACAAACGTGTACACGTCACAAGTATTGGGTAAGCCCTATCACTTGCCACCAGTTGACATTCTGCATAGTACGAGGTGAAGGTTTGTCGGTACTACTAAACCCTCAGCAGCACTATCAGAATCCCCGGCAAAATTTACAAAGCCACTCATGTTTCATATCTAAAACGTGAATCTATACCGCGAAGTAATCTACTTCTTGAAACATATCTGCAAATGGACGTGGCTTCATTCACCACCGGTCCAATAAAACTGAACAAGGCAACAGTTAACCTCAGAAATAGCCAGCAATGTTAGTGGAGACTTCCATACATGCCGTAGGGAACTAAAACAGGGCATGCAGAAAATAATGAGAAGAAGAATCGCAAAAAGCACCTTTGGGTAAGCTTCGTTCTGATACAGATTTGAAGGCGCCCCGCCACGGTGGTCTAGTAGCTAATGTACTCGAATGCTGACCCGCATGTCCCATGATTGAATCCCGGCTGCGGCGGCAGCATTTTGATGGTGATGAAAATGCTGTAGGTCCGGTTGCTCTGATTTGGCCGCACGTCAAAGAACCCCAGGTGGTCTGAATTCCTGAAGCCCTGCAAGTACGGCGTCTCTCATAATTATATGGTGGTTTAGAGAAGTTGAACCCACATATGAAATAACAATTTCAAGGTTTCACACTTTTGCATTCAGCATTATATTAGCAAATTCGGACATTTTACCTCAGTTATTCTTTCTCAAGTCTTATTGCTGCACAACTAAACACCGACAAAATACAAGTAAAAACTGGACACATGCAGACTCGCAAGCAATCCTTTCGTCGTTGCAAGATTAGCCTTTAAATGGTTCTCCTACCTATAAGCGTTCAGATGTTTGTCTGAGTGCGTTATACCTTCTCGTTTTTTCTCCGTGTTTACTAGCGCAGTAAGAAGGCTTTCAAATGAATCTGAACCAACTAGCCCCACCTGTTTCTGTACGAAGCATCGCGACCTTCAGGATGTTCAGTGTTCGCGTTATTTTTTGCTCACATAACCGAAGCTCAACATTTCAGTAGATGAAAACAACGATTCTCTTGCCAAGCGTTCTGCCTCGTATAAACAAAGTTAGAGAATGAATATTCATGAAAATTATACGTTCCGTGGTTATTGTTGAAACGGTTGAAAGATAGGGAGGGGGTGTTGTAGTCCATTATTTAGATAACGTGCTTTAGGGGCAAAGCCCCTTAAGGTCGAAGCTTGTCTGTTGTTGGTGGTGGCACTCGCTGTAGCGAAGCATGCATGACAATAAGGAACACGCTCGTTCCAGACCACACATTCTATTTCTCGCATCGCGACAAAGCCCGCTCAAGGTACCCACAATAGCCCACAACGATAACGATGACCTTGATAGCGACGAAAATGAGAACAATGATCATCCCGTACAATGACTGGCTTGTGCAGTATATAACGCCCAAAAGTACTCTACGACGCTTTTCGTATCAGTAGAAACAACCAGCGACCATCAAAGGAACGTGCCCATACATTGTCATTGCCACTTTCAGGCTAGATTCGATAGCACAAAGTTGTAATAAGGAAGACAAAACGAAGTTTACAAATTAACACAACACACCTGTTTGACCTGTAAGCGTTTTGGATAACTGTACATCACTGGGCACTCAATTACATGCTTGAGTGGTCAGTTGCACGAGTAATTTACAGTAACGCCGAACGATCTCAATGCTTCACCCACTTATCATCATTGACATTCCGGGTGCGCAATGATTTTTTTTTTTACTTCAAGGTAACTGGAACCACGTCCGCTTCAAAAAAAAAAGCTTTTTACGCCACGAGTATTGGTAAGAGCCACTCCTTGCAACTAGATGTTGTAAATATATGTACCAGATAAGCCAACTACTGAAAACGTTTATGCGAATAGAAACACTGGATAGTCAGCCCCCTGGCGTATTTTTCCTCAGCAAGATAAGTAACTGGGCTCCCAAAGTGCGTCTAAACAGCTATTCCCTCATGAAAATTGACGGCAAGCAACTCGTGCGCCAGAGGCTTACCATTCTTTTACAATTCACAACCGAGTCCGGAATGAAAAAGAGCCACAGACCTTTGACATAGGTGTTTGACATAGCACGCATAAACCTGCTGAGCGAACGGGATATTTGCGTAGCGACATTCTTCTACTGATATTTTTCTTTCCTTTCGCACTGACTTCCGCTTAAAACAGTAGCAAATGTATCGCGGGCAGTAGCGAACATTCGCACTTCACGTACGGCTTTCACAAATACCTTTTGCTCACGCAGAACACAAGTGCACCGGTGCAGCTCGTTCGGCGCTATTTCCATTGACGTCGCTTTGTTTAACCACTGACGTTAGCATGTCTGTACTGAGGCCGTCCATGGTAAATCGCGCACATAAAGTCAAGATACTAGACGCAGCCGTTCTTTTGTCTTTTTAATGTGTTCTGAGACACCGAGTGTAGTGCTCGGAGAATTCATTTTCTTCTCCTTGTACTGTGTGAGTCATTCAACGTACCAACCGTAAAGGAAGTAGAGCTTACTACAGCTCCTTTCCACAAAACTTCATAGCGATATCAAATATCTGACATTTTGCTTCTCAACAAGGCGCCAAGAAACATTTGGAACAACATGTAAGAACTTTGCACATATTTCACCACATCAGTCAGAAAACTCATGCACGTGCGTATCATTTTTTAGGAATTGTTGTGCTTCGGTGTTCAGTAACAATGACGGTTACGATTTACTGAGAGATGCCCAGATAGTTCGTATGACCCATACAAAGCTTCATCTGTTGTCTTTGCTGACGATGGAACATGGGAAAGATAAGTTGTTGTTGTCGCGTGAGTTGATATCAGACATAAACAGCAAGCCCGCGCAACACACTTGATGTTTATGTCTGGTATTATGTCAACGCGCATATGCCTAAGGCAACCTGTTGGCATATACTTACGAAAACTTTTTTCTAACTACTTCTAAATTGACCACTGTCGTGAAGTGCGTACAGACCGTGCTAGTTTCTCGTTTTGAGGGGCACTGTGTATTGTGACATCTCACGCCATCTGCAATGTGCCACTTCCTAGACTGTACAGGCGGTCTGCAAATCCTGTCTTTTATGTACGCATTTCATGCGCGAGGCAGAATTTTATTGTCACGTCTAGCAATGCCCAGAGTCATAACTATAGCCGAGGAGGTTATGATACCCACGGAAACTTTTTTCATGTTTCAGCTTTTCTGGTGACACTAAAGTATTTAAGTACCTTCACATAAGCCACCAGTTGTCAAAGACAGCTTTTCTTCAAGTAAACACCCGCTGCAAAATGTTCCTGGGTATGAACTTGGCTATCAACCATGAAGAAAGACATAAAATAGGTTACAGAAGTGGGGCTGTCGAATTTTTTTTCGTGTATAAATGCTTAATAATAATGTAATCCTCCTATGTGTGCGTAAAAGACAAACCTGCAAAATGTAGTTCCGTGCGTGCTTGGTTTTCTGTCAGAATGAATTTTTAAACTCGGTTTCATGTATAGAGACGTAGTTCACGAGCGATTCATTGTTTTCATGTGCTTGCACTAGGGTTCTACATTTCTACCTAGCTTAAATAACTTTTCTTGACATGTAGTTGCATTCATTTACATTATAACTGATTGCCACACGGAATAAATTTCGCGCTATGTGGCATTTCTTTGTACTTTTGCGGAACATATATGGTGTAACAAAACGTCCGTACCAACGTACGTAATGTTTGTTACTCATATAGAGGTAGTCATACTTTTTTTGTTTGACTGGTCCCGCAATCAGCTCTGAGATTGTTCAACCACTGTGGACAACCTGCAAGCGCTGCGTTTGTTAATAGTGAGTGAAGTTAAAAAAGTAGAACGCCTTCGCTGCAGTTGTAATAACTTTGGAAGGTAGCTCGTTAGCGCCCGTTTCTTTGTTTATCCTCGTAAGCGTCACTGAGCGAACGACTGGCACATAGCAGGTTGAAAGAGCCAGCTCGAGTTGTGGAAAACTTTCAACAATGGTGGGGGCATAGGAACGAGAGGCGCACACCGTGAGTAGATATATAATAGCGACCTATGGGAAACAGCCCCACATTATCAGAGGTCTGCGTGCGGACACTAAAAGGTAGAGCCAGTCAAGGGCATCATTCCTATCTTTCACAGTAAGGTGCGTGGTGAATGCATTCACTGGTACTCTAATGTAGTTTCGACTTAAGAAAAGATTTGTAGAGTGCGAATAATGCTTGACCAGCCCCAGAACCCACGTAATATATATATATATATATATATATATATATATATATATATATATATATATATATATAAGGGAAAGAAGTGTATACCTAAGGGCTCGTTTTTCAGTGTTTTAACACAATATTAATGAGATTTAACAGACAGTAATGCAAAGGAATGTACAGGGGAAGTTATTAGAACAAATTGAATGTAAATAAGAAGAAAGAAAAGTGGATGAAAAATATTTTTCATCCACATTTCTTTCTTCTTATTTACATTCAATTGGTTCTAATAACTTCTCTTGTACATTCCTTGGCATTACTGTCTGTTAGATTTCATATATATATATATTGTAGTGAAGAAGATGATGAGTGCTACTCAAAAAGGCAGGGGGTATGACTAAGTCGGTGAAGACGACGACGTTTGGTTGGCTGGGTGCTCAGACTGGTTGTGCCATTACCACTTGACGTGTCGTGACCGCTCTCCTGTTTTATAAAAGAGTGCCACTCTAAAATGCCCCATTATAATTGGTGGAGAGTGCTGGGTAACGCCTAATCCTGGAATTGCGAAACCGTACGTTGCTTCCAGTTGCTACAATTTCCACGGACGACGATCAGCAGGCGGCCGCCTCGGCTCCAACTACTGCACCTCCTGTCTGTCTCGGCTCCTTTAAGCAACGCGATCCGCCTACCTTCAGTGGAAACGATGACAAAGACGTGGAAGACTGGCTCGACGAATACGACCGGGTGAGCAAGCACAACAAGTTGGACGATGCACACAAGCTTACTATCGTCACATTTTATTTGACCGATGTCGCCAGTTTGTGGTACCGTAATCACGAGAGAGACCTCCCCATCTGGTCGGCCTTCCGAACGGCGTTCGCGGACTTGTTTGGCCGTCCAGCGCTTCGCAAACTACGGGTCGAACAATGCTTGCGTACTAGGGCTCAGCAGAATGGTGAGAATTACACCAGTTATATCGAAGATGTGGTCGACCTTTGTCGGCATGTCAACTCGGCCATGACAGAAGCCGAGAAGATCAAGCACATCTTGAAAGGCGTGACTGACGACGCATTTCAGATGCTTGTCGCCAAAAGCCCGCAAACGGTAGCCGAAGTGATCCAATTTTTTCAGAGCTATGATGAGCTCTGGAAACAGCGTGACACCACTCGTCGTGCCAGCGCGCCATGTGCAACAATCTCCGCTTTAACGTCGGCTGGCACTGCTATAGACCACACTACTTTGCTTCTCGAGATCAAGCAATTTGTACGAGAGGGTGTCGCACGCCAGTTGTCCCTTGTGCCTTATACCTCCGAAGGTGCCCCATCTACTTTAGCGCCATCAATACAGCGATTAGTTCAGGAGCAAGTGTCCGAGGCGCTACCAACAGCTCACGCACCAGCTGTGGCTGCTCCATTGACATATGCCGAAGCACTGAACGGAACCCGACGTCCGCCTGTCGCGAACGGCCATGTTTCTTTGTCGCGAACGCCTACGTCCACGCGCTCCTTTGTCGTACCGACTGAGCCTATGTACAAGGCTGCCCGTTCTTTCTCCCGACCACCACCTCCGCGCTTTCAGAACCCTTGGCGCACTGAAGACAACCACCCCATATGCTTCGCCTGTGGGATAGCGGGTCACGTGGCACGATTTTGTCGACGGCGTGAGTTTGTCCTGCGTGACGACGTCAGGCCCAACAATTATGATTTCCCACAATGACCAGAGCCTGCTGTATCTGGCGAGGCTGCAACCATGGACACATTTTCACCTCGCCGGAACTCAACAGACACCGGTCGCCTTCACCTCACTGCCGTTCCCTTTCCCCTATGCTACGTCGACCTCGCCCGGTGCCTGAGTAAAACTAAAAGCCGCAGTTCCGGGGGCAAGAACTGCGGATCTTTCGAACTCCACAAGACCTTGTTTTTCGCCGTCCAACATCGTTGCTGCCTCCGTTGAAGGTGTACCTGTTTTCGCATGTGTCGATACTGGCGCAGCAGTGTCTGTAATGTCTGAAAAACTTTACCGTCGACTAAAAAAGTCACAATGCCTCTTCACGACTTCGTTTTGAGCACTGCGAGTGAGCAACAAATTCGCCCTTTTGCTGCATGCACAGCACGTGTCGCTATTGCTGACGATATTTATGTCGTCGTGTTTGTAGTGCTCCCGCAGTGTTCCCAAGACATTATATTAGGCTGGGACTTTCTCTGCACTCATCGTGCCATCATCGACTGTGCTCGCGCCGAAGTGGAGTTCGCGCCGTTATGCGACGCTGCTTCACTCGACTCGTCCCTTTCACCTGCAAAAGTTTTCGTTGCCGCCGACACTTCGATACCCCCGTTCTCATCCGCCCTAGTTCCGCTTTCCTGTGACGTCTCTAGTGGCTCAACTGTTCTTTTTACGCCTTCTGAAAGCGCTGTTCGCCGCAAGTGCTTCCTGATTCCTTTCGCCGTTCTGAATGTTCACGATGCATCAAGTGCAATTTATGTTTCAAATCCGTTTCCCTCGCCTTCCAAGTTACTGTGCGGAGAGTGCTTGGGCTTTGCCGTTGACATTGATCCCTCGAGTGCACGTGTAGTTTCTGACCATTTGACTACGCTACCTTTTGACGCTGTTGATTGCTGCGCGTCATCCTCTTCCTCATCATTCACCGATGCAATTTCGCGCTGCATCGACACCAACCTTACGGCCCAGCAGCGCACCGACATCATCACCCCCCTCGAGCGCTTCCGCGCCAACTTCGACCACCAGCAACTGACTTTGGGCAGTGCTTCCACAGTATCTCACGAAATCGACACTGGCCTTCACGCTCCTTTACGTCAGCGTCCGTATCGAGTATCGGCATCTGAGCGCCGCATAATCGTGGAACAAGTTGACGACATGTTGAAGCGAGGTGTTATTGAGCCCTCAAACAGCCCGTGGCCATCTCCAGTTGTTCTAGTCATGAAAAAGAATGGCTCAATAAGGTTCTGCATCGACCTACTGGCGGTTGAATAAGATCACGCTCAAAGATGTTTACCCGCTACCTTGCATAGACGATGCCCTTGACTGCTTACAAGGCGCGGAGTTCTTCTCGTCACTAGATCTGCGTTCAGGTTATTGGCAAGTTCCCATGGCTGAGGCTGATCGCCCCAAAATGGCTTTTGTTACCCCTGATGGCTTATACGAATTTAATGTCATGCCATTCGGGCTCTGCAATGCGCCTGCCACTTCCTAGCGCATGATCGACAACATACCCCGTGGCCTGAAATGGCAGACATGTCTGTGTTATTTAGACGATGTCGTGATATATTCAAGCGAATTTTCAACGCATCTTCAGCGGCTCGAGACAGTGCTTACTTGCCTCACCTCCGCCGGTCTACAGCTCAACTTGAAGTGCTGCTTCGGTGCTCGAAAACTCCTAATTTTGGGCCATGTTGTATCTAGAGGTGGCATTCTTCCGGATCCGACG